AATCCTTATCCTGACCCTTTCGTAGTGCTATATACCCGAAATGGCTTGGCGCTTTCTCCTCATAACTCCTCCCTCACAGACACAAACCGTTCATTTGTTCATTTGATACATCAGACTATTGTGATTTGTGTGAGTAATGTATACCTCTAGTCTTGTCCCGAGTGAGCCAACCAGCAGCAGTCATCCAGCGGCAACCCGTCTACAGTAGACTGTTTACAGGAAGGTCACCTTCCCTCAGTCCCCAGAAAGGTCACCTGCCCTCAGTCCCCAGAAAGGTCGCCTGCCCTCAGTCCCCAGAAAGGTCGCCTGCCCTCAGTCCCCAGAAAGGTCGCCTGCCCTCAGTCCCCAGAAAGGTCGCCTGCCCTCAGTCCCCAGAAAGGTCGCCTGCCCTCAGTCCCCAGAAAGGTCGCCTGCCCTCAGTCCCCAGAAAGGTCGCCTGCCCTCAGCCCCCAGAAAGGTCGCCTGCCCTCAGCCCCCAGAAAGGTCGCCTGCCCTCAGCCCCCAGAAAGGTCGCCTGCCCTCAGCCCCCAGAAAGGTCGCCTGCCCTCAGCCCCCAGAAAGGTCGCCTGCCCTCAGCCCCCAGAAAGGTCGCCTGCCCTCAGCCCCAGAAAGGTCGCCTGCCCTCAGCCCCCAGAAAGGTCGCCTGCCCTCAGTCCCCAGAAAGGTCGCCTGCCCTCAGCCCCCAGAAAGGTCGCCTGCCCTCAGCCCCCAGAAAGGTCGCCTGCCCTCAGTCCCCAGAAAGGTCGCCTGCCCTCAGTCCCCAGAAAGGTCGCCTGCCCTCAGCCCCCAGAAAGGTCGCCTGTCCTCAGCCCCCAGAAAGGTCGCCTGTCCTCAGCCCCCAGAAAGGTCGCCTGTCCTCAGCCCCCAGAAAGGTCGCCTGTCCTCAGCCCCCAGAAAGGTCGCCTGCCCTCAGTCCCCAGAAAGGTCGCCTGCCCTCAGCCCCAGAAAGGTCGCCTGTCCTCAGTCCCCAGAAAGGTCGCCTGTCCTCAGCCCCCAGAAAGGTCGCCTGCCCTCAGCCCCCAGAAAGGTCGCCTGCCCTCAGCCCCCAGAAAGGTCGCCTGCCCTCAGCCCCCAGAAAGGTCGCCTGCCCTCAGCCCCCAGAAAGGTCGCCTGCCCTCAGCCCCCAGAAAGGTCGCCTGCCCTCAGCCCCCAGAAAGGTCGCCTGCCCTCAGCCCCCAGAAAGGTCGCCTGCCCTCAGCCCCCAGAAAGGTCGCCTGCCCTCAGTCCCCATAAAGGTCGCCTGCCCTCAGTCCCCATAAAGGTCGCCTGCCCTCAGCCCCCAGAAAGGTCGCCTGCCCTCAGCCCCAGAAAGGTCGCCTGCCCTCAGCCCCCAGAAAGGTCGCCTGCCCTCAGCCCCAGAAAGGTCGCCTGCCCTCAGCCCCCAGAAAGGTCGCCTGCCCTCAGCCCCCAGAAAGGTCGCCTGCGCTCAGCCCCCAGAAAGGTCGCCTGCGCTCAGCCCCCAGAAAGGTCGCCTGCGCTCAGCCCCCAGAAAGGTCGCCTGCGCTCAGCCTCCAGAAAGGTCGCCTGCGCTCAGCCTCCAGAAAGGTCGCCTGCGCTCAGCCTCCAGAAAGGTCGCCTGCGCTCAGCCTCCAGAAAGGTCGCCTGCGCTCAGCCTCCAGAAAGGTCGCCTGCGCTCAGCCTCCAGAAAGGTCGCCTGCGCTCAGCCTCCAGAAAGGTCGCCTGCGCTCAGCCTCCAGAAAGGTCGCCTGCGCTCAGCCTCCAGAAAGGTCGCCTGTGCTCAGCCTCCAGAAAGGTCGCCTGTGCTCAGCCTCCAGAAAGGTCGCCTGTGCTCAGCCTCCAGAAAGGTCGCCTGTGCTCAGCCTCCAGAAAGGTCGCCTGTGCTCAGCCTCCAGAAAGGTCGCCTGTGCTCAGCCTCCAGAAAGGTCGCCTGTGCTCAGCCTCCAGAAAGGTCGCCTGTGCTCAGCCTCCAGAAAGGTCGCCTGTGCTCAGCCTCCAGAAAGGTCGCCTGTGCTCAGCCTCCAGAAAGGTCGCCTGTGCTCAGCCTCCAGAAAGGTCGCCTGTGCTCAGCCTCCAGAAAGGTCACCTGTGCTCAGCCTCCAGAAAGGTCACCTGTGCTCAGCCTCCAGAAAGGTCACCTGTGCTCAGCCTCCAGAAAGGTCACCTGTGCTCAGCCTCCAGAAAGGTCACCTGTGCTCAGCCTCCAGAAAGGTCACCTGTGCTCAGCCTCCAGAAAGGTCACCTGTGCTCAGCCTCCAGAAAGGTCACCTGTGCTCAGCCTCCAGAAAGGTCACCTGTGCTCAGCCTCCAGAAAGGTCACCTGTGCTCAGCCTCCAGAAAGGTCACCTGTGCTCAGCCTCCAGAAAGGTCACCTGTGCTCAGCCTCCAGAAAGGTCACCTGTGCTCAGCCTCCAGAAAGGTCACCTGTTCTCAGCCTCCAGAAAGGTCACGTCGCGTTAGACGTCGAAGACAAACATTTGTAGACATCACACACAATTAAAATCACAATAGCGTGATGCATCACTAAACAAATCCACAAGGGCCGTGACGAGGATTCGAACCCACGTCTGAGAGCATCCCAGACGCTGCCTTAATCGACTGAGTTACGACGACATGGTAAAAAGAGTTGAAAACAGATGTTCTACTGAAATTACTTGTATCCTGCAGCCAAGACAATCAACACAAAGTATCAACACTTGTATCAACACAAAGTATCAACACTTGTATCAACACAAAGTATCAACACTTGTATCAACACAAAGTATCAACACTTGTATCAACACAAAGTATCAACACTTGTATCAACACAAAGTATCAACACTTGTATCAACACAAAGTATCAACACTTGTATCAACACAAAGTATCAACACTTGTATCAACACAAAGTATCAACACTTGTATCAACACAAAGTATCAACACTTGTATCAACACAAAGTATCAACACTTGTATCAACACAAAGTATCAACACTTGTATCAACACAAAGTATCAACACAAAGTATCAACACAAAGTATCAACACTTGTATCAACACAAAGTATCAACACTTGTATCAACACAAAGTATCAACACTTGTATCAACACAAAGTATCAACACTTGTATCAACACAAAGTATCAACACTTGTATCAACACAAAGTATCAACACTTGTATCAACACAAAGTATCAACACTTGTATAAACACAAAGTATCAACACTTGTATCAACACAAAGTATCAACACTTGTATAAACACAAAGTATCAACACTTGTATCAACACAAAGTATCAACACTTGTATCAACACAAAGTATCAACACTTGTATCAACACAAAGTATCAACACTTGTATCAACACAAAGTATCAACACTTGTATAAACACAAAGTATCAACACTTGTATCAACACAAAGTATCAACACTTGTATAAACACAAAGTATCAACACTTGTATCAACACAAAGTATCAACACTTGTATCAACACAAAGTATCAACACTTGTATCAACACAAAGTATCAACACTTGTATCAACACAAAGTATCAACACTTGTATAAACACAAAGCATTGCTTCAATAAACATTTTAAAGAAGGTTTACAGAATCACGGCGACAGGGTACTCTCTCTTGTGGTCTACAAGACGGTCCATGTTGAGTGTGTCTGGAGTTTCTCACAAGATGGTCTACAAGAAGGGTCTATGTTGAGTGTGTCTGGAGTGTCTCACAAGATGGTCTACAAGAAGGGTCCATGTTGAGTGTGTCTGGAGTGTCTCACAAGATGGTCTACAACAAGGGACCATGTTGAGTGTGTCTGAAGTGCCTCACAAGATGGTCTACAACAAGGGACCATGTTGAGTGTGTCTGGAGTGCCTCACAAGATGGTCTACAAGAAGGGACCATGTTGAGTGTGTCTGGAGTGCCTCACAAGATGGTCAACAAGAAGGGACCATGTTGAGTGCGTCTGGAGTGCGTCCACTTCACCTCAACCTTCACTCACACTGTTCCATTATATTTTATCTCCTGTTTATGAAGTCTTTTGTTGAGGTTGTGGGAGAGACGCCCTCTTGTGGGGTCGTCAACACGTGTTGTTTAGTACTGGCAGGTGAGGACTACTGGGTGGGTAGCCTGAGTACTGGCAGGTGAGGACTACTGGGTGGGTAGCCTGAGTACTGGCAGGTGAGGACTACTGGGTGACCCTGAGTACTGGCAGGTGAGGACTACTGGGTGGGTAGCCCGAGTACTGGCAGGTGAGGACTACTGGGTGGGTAGCCTGAGTACTGGCAGGTGAGGACTACTGGGTGGGTAGCCTGAGTACTGGCAGGTGAGGACTACTGGGTGGGTAGCCTGAGTACTGGCAGGTGAGGACTACTGGGTGGGTAGCCAGAGTACTGGGCGGTGAGGACTACTGGGTGGGTAGCCAGAGTACTGGCAGGTGAGGACTACTGGGTGGGTAGCCCGAGTACTGGCAGGTGAGGACTACTGGGTGGGTAGCCCGAGTACTGGCAGGTGAGGACTACTGGGTGGGTAGCCTGAGTACTGGCAGGTGAGGACTACTGGGTGGGTAGCCTGAGTACTGGCAGGTGAGGACTACTGGGTGGGTAGCCCGAGTACTGGCAGGTGAGGACTACTGGGTGGGTAGCCTGAGTACTGGCAGGTGAGGACTACTGGGTGGGTAGCCTGAGTACTGGCAGGTGAGGACTACTGGGTGGGTAGCCAGAGTACTGGGCGGTGAGGACTACTGGGTGGGTAGCCAGAGTACTGGCAGGTGAGGACTACTGGGTGGGTAGCCCGAGTACTGGCAGGTGAGGACTACTGGGTGGGTAGCCCGAGTACTGGCAGGTGAGGACTACTGGGTGGGTAGCCTGAGTACTGGCAGGTGAGGACTACTGGGTGGGTAGCCTGAGTACTGGCAGGTGAGGACTACTGGGTGGGTAGCCCGAGTACTGGCAGGTGAGGACTACTGGGTGGGTAGCCTGAGTACTGGCAGGTGAGGACTACTGGGTGGGTAGCCAGAGTACTGGCAGGTGAGGACTACTGGGTGGGTAGCCAGAGTACTGGGCGGTGAGGACTACTGGGTGGGTAGCCAGAGTACTGGCAGGTGAGGACTACTGGGTGGGTAGCCCGAGTACTGGCAGGTGAGGACTACTGGGTGGGTAGCCCGAGTACTGGCAGGTGAGGACTACTGGGTGGGTAGCCTGAGTACTGGCAGGTGAGGACTACTGGGTGGGTAGCCTGAGTACTGGCAGGTGAGGACTACTGGGTGGGTAGCCCGAGTACTGGCAGGTGAGGACTACTGGGTGGGTAGCCTGAGTACTGGCAGGTGAGGACTACTGGGTGGGTAGCCCGAGTACTGGGAGGTGAGGACTACTGGGTGGGTAGCCCGAGTACTGGCAGGTGGGGACTACTGGGTGGGTAGCCCGAGTACTGGGAGGTGAGGACTACTGGGTGGGTAGCCCGAGTACTGGCAGGTGAGGACTACTGGGTGGGTAGCCTGAGTACTGGCAGGTGAGGACTACTGGGTGGGTAGCCCGAGTACTGGCAGGTGAGGACTACTGGGTGGGTAGCCCGAGTACTGGCAGGTGAGGACTACTGGGTGGGTAGCCCGAGTACTGGCAGGTGAGGACTACTGGGTGGGTAGCCCGAGTACTGGCAGGTGAGGACTACTGGGTGGGTAGCCTGAGTACTGGCAGGTGAGGACTACTGGGTGGGTAGCCCGAGTACTGGCAGGTGAGGACTACTGGGTGGGTAGCCCGAGTACTGGCAGGTGAGGACTACTGGGTGGGTAGCCTGAGTACTGGGAGGTGGGGACTACTGGGTGGGTAGCCCGAGTACTGGGAGGTGAGGACTACTGGGTGGGTAGCCTGAGTACTGGCAGGTGAGGACTACTGGGTGGGTAGCCCGAGTACTGGGAGGTGAGGACTACTGGGTGGGTAGCCTGAGTACTGGCAGGTGAGGACTACTGGGTGGGTAGCCTGAGTACTGGCAGGTGAGGACTACTGGGTGGGTAGCCTGAGTACTGGCAGGTGAGGACTACTGGGTGGGTAGCCTGAGTACTGGCAGGTGGGGACTACTGGGTGGGTAGCCTGAGTACTGGCAGGTGAGGACTACTGGGTGGGTAGCCCGAGTACTGGGAGGTGAGGACTACTGGGTGGGTAGCCTGAGTACTGGCAGGTGAGGACTACTGGGTGGGTAGCCTGAGTACTGGCAGGTGAGGACTACTGGGTGGGTAGCCTGAGTACTGGCAGGTGAGGACTACTGGGTGGGTAGCCTGAGTACTGGCAGGTGAGGACTACTGGGTGGGTAGCCTGAGTACTGGCAGGTGAGGACTACTGGGTGGGTAGCCCGAGTACTGGGAGGTGAGGACTACTGGGTGGGTAGCCTGAGTACTGGCAGGTGGGGACTACTGGGTGGGTAGCCTGAGTACTGGCAGGTGAGGACTACTGGGTGGGTAGCCCGAGTACTGGGAGGTGAGGACTACTGGGTGGGTAGCCTGAGTACTGGCAGGTGAGGACTACTGGGTGGGTAGCCTGAGTACTGGCAGGTGAGGACTACTGGGTGGGTAGCCTGAGTACTGGCAGGTGAGGACTACTGGGTGGGTAGCCTGAGTACTGGCAGGTGAGGACTACTGGGTGGGTAGCCTGAGTACTGGCAGGTGAGGACTACTGGGTGGGTAGCCCGAGTACTGGGAGGTGAGGACTACTGGGTGGGTAGCCTGAGTACTGGCAGGTGAGGACTACTGGGTGGGTAGCCCGAGTACTGGCAGGTGGGGACTACTGGGTGGGTAGCCTGAGTACTGGCAGGTGAGGACTACTGGGTGGGTAGCCTGAGTACTGGCAGGTGAGGACTACTGGGTGGGTAGCCTGAGTACTGGCAGGTGAGGACTACTGGGTGGGTAGCCTGAGTACTGGCAGGTGAGGACTACTGGGTGGGTAGCCTGAGTACTGGCAGGTGGGGACTACTGGGTGGGTAGCCCGAGTACTGGCAGGTGGGGACTACTGGGTGGGTAGCCTGAGTACTGGCAGGTGAGGACTACTGGGTGAGTAGCCTGAGTACTGGCAGGTGAGGACTACTGGGTGGGTAGCCTGAGTACTGGCAGGTGGGGACTACTGGGTGGGTAGCCCGAGTACTGGCAGGTGAGGACTACTGGGTGGGTAGCCTGAGTACTGGCAGGTGGGGACTACTGGGTGGGTAGCCCGAGTACTGGCAGGTGAGGACTACTGGGTGGGTAGCCTGAGTACTGGCAGGTGGGGACTACTGGGTGGGTAGCCCGAGTACTGGCAGGTGAGGACTACTGGGTGGGTAGCCTGAGTACTGGCAGGTGAGACCTACTGGGTGGGTAGCCTGAGTACAGGCAGGTGGGGACTACTGGGTGGGTAGCCCGAGTACTGGCAGTGGGGACTACTGGGTGGGTAGCCCGAGTACTGGCAGGTGAGGACTACTGGGTGGGTAGCCTGAGTACTGGCAGGTGAGGACTACTGGGTGGGTAGCCTGAGTACTGGCAGGTGAGGACTACTGGGTGGGTAGCCTG